GCAATAGAGGGAGGCTTTGTTTTACATGAATAATTGCAATGGTAGATGAAGAATTTAATACTTTAGCAGAGAACAAAAGCATCCAAAACACAGAACCCTTGAAAGGAAGGAAAATCACCAAGGAACGAGCGCCTGTTATAATGGTAAAATCTTGAATAACCAAAAGTGGAAGAAATTGATGATTACCTCAGAGGGAAGCTTTCTTTTACATAGATAATTACAATGGTAAACGGAGAATTCAAAACGTTAGCAAAGATCAAAGGAATCCAAAACATAGAACCTTTGAAAGGAAGGAAAATCACCAAGGAGCGAGCGTCTGTTATAATGGTGAAGGTTCATCGATTGAGAAGTGCAAAAAGCTTTTAAGGTCTTTGGATTTATATAAAATCCTGAATAACCAAAACTGGAAGCAATTAATCACCACAGAGGGAGACTTTGTTTTAAATTAATAATTGCAATGGTAAAGGAAGAATTCAATAAGTTAGCAGAGATCAAAGGAATCTAAAACTTAGAGCTTTTGAAAGAGGGAAACTCACCAAAGGAAGAGGGTCTGTTATAATGGCAAGCCCCGTCATAATTCTGAAGATTCAGGTGCCAAAACAGACACAGATTGTCATATTATAAATGAATTGAAATCATTTTTGACCGAAGATTGCAAGATTGTGTTCCATCAAGATTCTGCGCCATGACATATTTCTAAGAAGATCAAGGAATTTATGGACACTTTCAAATACAGTGTAAACTCTTTATATCGTCACTCGATTTAACGACAAACTCCTTAAAACGTCGAAATTGCTTGACTTTGGTTGGTTTACATTGTTTTCTATACAATATTACACTCTATATAGCGTCACGCTCACTCTATTTAACGACAACAATGCGGCATTATAAGTCATTGAGCAGTATTTTCTAAGTTGCCGAAATAGATAAGAACTGCAGCTGTGTACGTTGTTGAAGAAGACGATCCTGTCCCTCCACCAAGCATCAAACGAGCACTTGATGCAACGAAACTATTAAAAAAATACTTTTTATATAATCAAGTTGATCCAGCAGTATCTCAAGATATGAGTAAGATACGTAACAAAATACAATTAAAATATTGGAGCTGCAAAAAAACATCAGACGAAGATAACAGGCTATACGCAATGTATGAATAATATATAAATGAATCGTGTGCAAAATGTGTACTATATTGGTAAATGCATATTATTATAGAATAGTAAAATAATATCTTTTATTTCTCTCCATTTAACGACCACTCTTTATAACGCCGAAAAATGTTCAGTCCCTTAAGTGTCGTTATATAGAGTTTACACTGTATATTCCTACAGAAAAATGGATGTCAGAGAGTAGTGAATCTTTGATGGATTTTGCCGTTTAGGGGTGGGTTTTGGAGGCAGCTTAGAAAAAAGCTAAATATAAGGTATGGAAAGAAATGTCTCAAAAATTCATTAACACATCTTTTGAGTCCTGGTTTAAAAGAGTACATAACATCTGTAAGAATTAAGAAAGACATATTTACAGGGAAACTGTAACGTAATCCGTACATCATCAGTTAATCAATTTTACAAACCTATCGTATCTTTTTGGGGTCAACTGAGGTAGAAAGCACTAGATATACAAACTGATTTTATTATACATTATATTGATGCATTAATTGCGTTCCGTCAATTGTTCATTCTTTTTTTTTTCCAAATGATTGCTCTTTTCTTTTCTCTTTTTTAGGTGAAAGAGTCGCCACGTTTGGTTTAGTGTGTGAAATAATGCCCATTATTTGCGACATAATCGTGTTTCTAATACCTAATGGTAATAAGAAAACAACGACTACAAGTTTGCTAAAGAACCCGATATTCTTGCGCAAAATTGCCAAGCAAATGGTAATAACAATAACTCCGACAGGAGATACTCAGTTATTGTTATTTTATTATTAATCAATCAATTCGTGGTTTTGGTATTCATCGTTTACAGCACGATGGCAAATATTGATTGAAAAAGCAGTGGCGGTTCGTCAATATTTGTTTTTGTAGTGACTTGGGGTCATAATCAATACAATACAAAATAAAAAGTACCTATTTTTATCTTGCATTTAAATAACTTTTTGAGAAAAGCGTTTTGTATTTTATTAAAAATACTTTTTCAAACGTATTTTCTATTTGTAAAATGCAAAAGTTAAAAGTTTTGCTAGTATCACTAATTAAACATTATATAAAATGATGAATGAAAGGTGCTCACATTGGTCATTGAAGGTATTAGAAGCTTAAAAAGAGGACAAAGAGACATTCCATGAATGCCTTCTAATTCTTTAACTGAAGAGTTCCCAAAAATTCTAAACTCCTTGGAAATGGATAATTTAAAATATTGGATCGATATTGTTTTCCGGGTTCAATGTCATGGTCCATGGAATTTAGAAGTTCCAAATTGATATCAGCACCTAACAAATCACCACTTATCGTACCTTTAGCAGAAAACTACGAAATTCTAGGAATTACGACAAAACATCCCCCAAAACAATATCGAATTAATATATAGGCCAGCTGTGTAAAACAGAAAACTACAAGATATTGTGATGTGCTAATAAATGCATATAATCTAAAATTCTTAGAAAGCGATTTGAAAAATTTCACTTATTAGATGAACGCAAAGCTAAAGAAACTATGGATTCCATTTCTTTCTCTTATTACAATGAGTAAAAGATCAGAAACAGAATGGGGTTGTAAATATTTTAATATAAAATGATTGATTATAATTTTACATTTATAAAATTATTTACAACCCCATTCTGGCTCTGACCTTTCACGCTAAGCAAACTATTTTGTCATCAGTGTCGTTTTTCCAATTAAAACGTCTGATAAAGGCAAATAAGAAAGCATATGGAAGAATTATTTGTTGCCGAACTGAAGAAACCATAACATAAATATATAAAAACTATATCTCAATTACTTCAAACAGAAAAATATGAATCATATTTAATCTTCGCAGCTGGTGATATAGTCAAACACCACTCATCATCATCATAAGGTCATCAGTCCTAAGACTGGTTGGACACGTACCTCCACTCTTTCCTATCCTGAGCTAAACTTCGCATTTCCCTAAAACTAGAACAACCCACATCCTTAACTATTTGCGAACAGTAATCTAAT